AGTGGGATTAGCCAATTGAAAGGCAGGGCAGGACAAGGTAAATAGCAGGTGTGATGACGCCACCTTAAACTCGCCAAAATGAGGCACACCTCTCAAAGAGGGAAATATAAACGAGTGAGAATTTGTGATAGGGCGCGAGTAAGACAAGAGGGTAGGGAGTAAATAGATGGGCCATGACAGAAAGAAGAGTGCTAGGACAACTGTTTCGGCAGAATTTGATCAAGGAATCGACTTCACTTGTCTCCTTTTCGAGTTGTTTTGTGGTGCTGAGAAAGGCAAAACTCACTGACGATGTCGACGCAGCGTCTAGAAAATATGCCAAATCCACGGTTTGATGCTGGGAACTATGATAGCTACTATACCAGAGGACTTCGTGAAAGGCACTTCCAACTAAGTCGCCCTGGCATTACGACTTAGTTGTGAAAACAAGGTCAGACCACTTCTATATAAAAGTTTCTTGCATCATAAAGTCTGTGTGGCACTTATTTTGGACTGACTCAACTTTCATTCTTAAATCATCCTACACAACATTTCCCGACTCGACTTATAAATCGAGATTGATATTGAATAAATTTGCACGAAAAATCTAAATTTCTTTTTAGTTTACCGAAGTTAGCATCGCTATCATTTCCCCCAACGTGCTATAGATCTTTGGCTTGCTTTAAAGCGATTGCACAAAGCAGCGAAAAAGTACATTTTAAAGTAATTCAGGAAAAAATCATCAATAATAGATAAAATAAATGATATACACCCGTTTGATCAGGGCTATCAAGAAACTAATATTTGTGCTCATTTCTCCCGCCCAAACAAACTTAAAAAACATGTATAGCGGTTGTTTGACCTTTATTGCGCAATTTGGTAATATTGGTAGGAAGAAGTAGGCGAACGCACCCAGCCAGGAGTCCATTGTATGCATGATCACTTCCAAATTCGGACCGTAGACGTGGTACATTGCATGCACACAATGGACTCCGTACTAGGTGCGTTCCTCTAAGTGTTCCTACCAATATTACCACATTGCGGAAAAAAGGTCAAACAACCTCTATACAACGAAAGAAGACTGCGACCACACAAATGGCCACACCATCTTGGTCTTCACATCTTCGATTAAAAAACGTGATTGACTGAATTCATACACTAGCCTCTAACATTTAATATGTTCTATCAACAAGCTAATCATTCTTCTGGCTGGCCAGCTCCTTCTGGATCACTTACTTTAGATCGTAGACCAGCTCTGGTACTAGATGGGCCGGGGTCTCTAAATTGCAGGCCAGAATCATGGAAAACAGACCGCCGACCGTGAGGTAAGCGAGCATTCCACCCTCCACTAGAGGCAGCACCAAACTCTCACGAGCCGGCAGGCAGATGAGATCTTGACCAAAAACTTGAGCCAATCCACTGAGAGCCGTGGAGGTTGCTAAGAGAATGATAGGCGGCAGGCAGACAGTGAACAGTAGAACCAGTGTCTTGAGGGTGAGATAGCCACGGACTAGAGATTGGAAAAGGAAGAAATTCTCACATGCCAACCAGGCGGTGACAAACAGGCCAGCCAGGCTGACTACAAAACCGGCCAACTGACAGAATAATGGCGCCGCAAGGCTGGTTGGGTCGTCGGGGACAGTCTTTTCGGCGGTGAGAGCTGCCAGAAGTCCGGCATGCCAAATAAACAGACTGACGGCGAGTCCAATGTGGACAAGGTAACGCTGAGGTGGAATACGAACCCAGTTCAGAGTCCCAGACGCCTCCATCCATAGTCGCAAGGCCAGGCTGATGATCATCGCGGAAGTGGCGATCAAAGAGACGGGATTGCAGACAAGAAAGATCATGTCCATCACCAAGGCGTGCGTATCCGCATCGGCTGCTCCACAGACGTTCCAAAAGTCGGTCAGCCAGTCTTTTTGGTCGACCGGTTGCATGGCGACCGCGAACAGCGACAAATGACTACAGGAGCAATTGACATGTGTCAAGTTGGCTCCTGTAGTCAGGCATCCATTGTTGTCCCAGGCTCCTGATGATGAGTCTGGTGCCATCTGATAGTATGTGTCATTCCAGAAGACGCAGCGCACCGGCTGCGCTACACTCAAATTCAGGCTCATCGAGGCCTCCAGAGAGGCAATGACCCGGTTGGCGGCGGCAGCTGCCCAAGGCATCCTGCCCGTTTTTTTTGCGTAGACCACGGCATGTGGTACGTTCATTGTGCCGAGGGGCAAGCTGAAATTGAGCCATGTGGCCGAGTTGTCGACCTGCATTCGATTGGCTTCGCTTGGGATGACTGTCACCGAGAGGACATGACTCAGGATTTGTAGATCGCTGGCATTATTCAGGGCCACTTTGGGCACGTCTGCAGCAAGCGCTGCTGTGAGGCTGGACTCCGAAAGAGTGAAAACATCTTGGCTAATGTTGTTCCTGTCCACCGGTATACCACCGGTAACACTTGAGCAAGTTGAGGCGTTCTGAAAGCAGCTTGGCAGAAGAGTGACAAAGAGCGCGGTCTTATTTAGGCCCTGTCCTGTCAGTATGTTTGCAATGCTCTTTTGGGGCAGGATGACTTCTGCGTCTGGGGCCGACAACTGTGAGACGGCGTTTCCAGTCAGACGGAATACGAGCTCACTCTTGCCATTACTACCACCTGCATCCAGGTCGCCGGAAACATTGAGGCTGCAGCTACCGTTAGAATCTTCTGCTGGTATAATCCCCAGAATCATGTTGGTGCTGTTGAATGTGTTGAAGGATACATGGCAGGCGGATTCTAGGTCGGTAGAAAGACCCAATGTAGCCATGCCAGTGGCCAATTGGGTAACAATTTGACCAGCAACTATTTCTGTCTTACTGGATCTGGTAATCAGATCACTCCAGACGTCAGCGAGGCCTGGTTGAGTCGTCGAATTCAGTAACTCGGCCATCGTATTTAAAGTGTTCACAATAAAATCTCTTGATTCGTTGGCATTAGTAACTGTTGTTTTCGTGATTTCTGGGCTATTAGTATCAAATATCATGAGGACGTGGTTCACTATTTTACCGCAAGCTGTCAGAATACTGGTCAAATCTATCGACGTGCTGTCGTTAGACAAGGAGAGTTTACCTACAGCCCAGTTGAGTGTGTCTTTGGCCAATTGCAATAGTCGCAGAGCATCTTCTTTTGTAGTCATCTTTTCAAATGCCCCTGTCATAGTGATGAGATTTTCCTTGGGACAAAATATGCAGAAAAAAGAGTAAAACATATCTTGGCCCACTATGATCCAGACTGCAGGGGTCTGACTATTGTGAGCCTTTCGAGGAAATCACATCTTATATAACTGACTTGCTTGTAATCTTGAAATACTACTTATGCACGGAAAATAAGTAATTTACTCGATTTTCCTAGTAAATAGAAGTTTGCTTCATCGGCATTCCCACCAACAAATGAGAAGTAAAAAAAATGCAGGGCCTTCCTTGAAATTTACATCTGTCCTGTAGCCAAGGGGTACTCGTAGCAATGTCGTCGAGTGGTTAACGTGTCAAGCTCACATGCTGCATTGTCACGATTCTACTTCCGCTGGGGGTGTTGCTAAGACCTATACGAGGTCAAAATTGCAGTAGCCCCTGGATGATAACACATTTTGGGATAGCAAGGCTATGTGAAATTCAATGAAAACGTCAGCTGTATTCATATAACTGTGAGAAAATTTAACTACGTCTCATTAAAATGACTTAATGGTAGTCTCAAAGCTCTACTTATGAACGAACTAGAAGGGGTCATATTATCTACCTGAAATCATAAACCCTATATGAGCAACAAAATACCCATATTAAGGTATTTTTACATTCGAAAAAACATTAAATTCAATCGTCTATGTTTTCCCAATTTGGGAAAATATGTTCCTTAGTCGTGCTCAGCTGATCAATGATTTAGCTTTAATCCTCTATTTTTCTCCCTTTCTGCTCATCAAAACCCTATTGAATATTTATAAAATGTATTTACCCTATTTCGTTTAAGGTGATAAACGAATCGGTAGTTAAGTTTTCCTAAAATTGTATGAGTAGGCCTGACATATCCATTTAATTTCACATAGCCTTGTTTGCCTAAAAGGTATTCGAATCCAGGCTATAGTGGACTACAGATTTGACCTCACCTGAACTGCTCCCATCAGCACACTTAGCGGGACTCGAACATTGGGTTATGTACGTGGATAACTACTTTGCCGTATAGCAACATGGCAAAGAAAGTTTAGGAGAATTCCTAACGTTGAGGAATGGAATCGATGGAAATATCAAGTTCACCATGGAACTAGTTAAGGATGGTAGTTTACCTTTTATAGATGTCCTAGTTAGCAAAGAGGGAAGCAAACTAGGTAGGAATGTGTATTAGAAATTCACAAATGTGGGATTCTTCTTAAGATTCTCTTCGAGCCATACTTATGGTGTTAAAGTAGCATATATGAAATCCATAATATTAAGGAGCCTGCGTCTTGTAGATGTTAATCATCGAGAACGGGAACTGAGGATATTAAGGAAAATTTTTGTTGGGAATGATTGACCACTAGAATTACTTGAGAATTGCTTTAAAACATGGAGAGTAACTGGGTTTCGATGAATCTCCTGAGATAACATTATTACTTGGACTTTCATTTCGTATGAAAGTGTATGAAGAAGAAATTCGAAGGTCGATCTCACCAGAAGAGGATGGTTGAATCCTGTTGTACTGCCGCCGTTTGGCTTTTATACGACGTTGAGATTGACGCAGTCCGCGAGACCTCCTCCCTCTTTTCAGGTTAAAATGGGCTGAGCTTTCGTCCTTTTATTTGATGGATTTCATCAGAGTTGGGACTTAATCTTGTAAAATTTTCACGTTAACATTAAGATAAGAATACTACCCGGCTCTATCTTACCTCTTATATGGTCTCATTTAAGCAAAAGAGAATTTTTAAAAATAGATCGATATAGAATGGTTTTGTTAATTACCTTTATTCTGGTCACCTTCCATTGGATAGCGATTCAACACCCTGTCTTTCGCTTAAAAATACTGGCTACTAGGATGGAGGAAAACATCTATTTGTGGCAAGATAGGCAGCTGGATCACTGGGCTGGCGTTATCGTCATGTCAGCATTTGAAAAAGATAGGTTAACCACTAAGAAAATGGGATGTCGGGACTGGGTGGTGCGCCGAGGACTTATTGACAAAATTCTACAATCACAGCTCCAAAGCAATCCCCCTACATTTTCCAATGAGGCCAGCTTACGAATCCCTCTTCAAACGAAAGAAAAGGCACCCCAACATATTATTTTTATAGTTGTCCAAAATAAGCTGAGCAAATGCTCTACAGAGAAGTTAATAGTTTCAGGAAATAGTAGGTCTCTGTCAATGCACAGTTTTGATGCTGAATATTAAAACGAATAAACTTACCCTTCAAGCTTTTGATGGGTTCTAGGACTCCATTAAAAGAGGGCTCGATGTCAATTAACGCTCCAATGTGTAGTCTGGAAACACTATCGATTCTTGTCAAGTATTTGCACCTACCATTTACCTGAAGGTTTGGTCAGACCTCATTGCCTCTTTCAAGTCCGGGAAACTTAGCCCGACCTTGATGGACGAATTTTTATCAAAGGATGGCCCCTGTCTGATGAAGACAAGCACAGAAGAAAAAATTAATTTATTGAACCTTGTGGAAATCTTGCATATCGACATT